CAATATATTACACCATAGCACAGAAGAAGCCTGTTTTCGCTCTGAAAACAGCCTATGGAAGTATTGAAGGCAATAGTTGCGTAATTAATGGTTAACTTGGTTTCTGAGCTGACGTGTGAGGTTAAAATTACCGGGGTGTCGAAAAACGTCTCACAAACAAAGTTTGCCAGATAAAACAGTCGAAGCGTGGGTAATTTCATCCAAGGTTCGATTTAACGTAAATACTAAGTCTATGCTCAGAAATGAGTATGAGTCAAGCAAAATCTTGCTCCAGTTAACTCTTTTCATCACAGCTATCACAGACTTAGTAATCGATCGGAAATAAATTTGGTTAATACCTCGATGGCCGAAAGTCGACGTTTGGTCAAATAAACGCGGGCCGAAATACCTAACGCCTATTCTAACCCCGAGCGGTGCAAAATATAGCTATTGCACCCGCTTCCTAAACGTACGGTGCAATATATAACTATTGCACACGTTTCCCTACCGTTCGCTTAAGTTAGTGCCTCGATGGCCGAAAGTCGACGTTGGGTAAAATAAACCAAGGGCCAAAATCCCTAACGCCTATTCTAATCCCGAGCGGTGCAATTTATAACTATTGCACGCGCTTCCTATGCGTACGGTGCAATATATAACTATTGCACACGTTTCCCTACCGTTCGCTTAAGTTAGTGCCTCGATGGCCGAAAGTCGACGTTGGGTAAAATAAACGTGGGCCGAAATCCCTAACGCCTATTCTAATCCCGAGCGGTGCAATATATAACTATTGCACGCGCTTCCTATGCGTACCGTGCAATATATAACTATTGCACACGTTTTCCTACCGTTCGCTTAAAAGTTAGTGCCTCGATGGCCGAAAGTCAACGTTGGGTAAAATAAACGTGGGCCGAAATCCCTAACGCCTATTCTAATCCCGAGCGGTGCAATATATAACTATTGCACGCGCTTCCTATGCGTACGGTGCAATATATAACTATTGCCCACGTTTCCCTACCGTTCGCTTAAGTTAGTGCCTCGATGGCCGAAAGTCGATGTTGGACCTATACCACGTTAGCGTGTAGTGGGTGACTTGCTTTTGGTTGTGGTGTAGGTTGGTAGTAAAATTTCCCCATAAAATCCCCGTCTGGCAAACTTAAACATCCACTTGTTCTTTCTCCGTCTCTCTCCCTCCAATTGGCAATAGAATGGAACCAGCTACGTTCCAAGCAGTGCTGCTATCTGTGGGTGTTTAGCGAACTATGTAGACTCTTGTCGTAAAGCAGGACATCACCGAACGTTATTTGCTATTCGTCATAGTCTACCGAAAATTGAAAGCCAATCACCCGGCAATCGGGTTTGTTCGATACTGCAGGCTGCGCCGCACTGGGGCTACGCCTGCCATTTGATGGGCCACAGTGAACTTGTTACCTGATTGATGGAGAATAGGAGTTTTCCTGGTGATGTAAATATTAAAGTTGCTAATTAATGTAGTAGGTTATTGTTTTTTTAGCGAATTTCCCATATAAGGAATAAGCTATTAGCTACCGTAGTACTCATGGTAAGACCTGGACGCGGGACCGATTTTTTTTTCCATTTTGAGGTCCCTAGAGGCCAAACACACCATCTGTTCAAATTCATATATATATATATATATATATATATATATATATATATATATATATATATATATATATATATATATATATATATGTCCGTTAGCATGATAACTCGAGCGAAAATAATCCGATTTTGATGAAATTTGGTACAAACGTGTAAACCTACGTTTATTCGAACGAGTTCGCGATCCAGCATAATTGGACCATGGGAACAGGGGTTTATGGGGTAGGCCTAAAAATGTGTTTTTCCCATTTTTTAACCTAAAAACAAAAAATTTTGCAATTTCTTTCTAAACCGTTTTGAAGAGCTTAAAAAAATAAATAATTTGGTGTATTGAAGCGCTGTTGTATGCCTAACGGTCACGAAGAAAATTAAAAAATAGTTTAATTTAAAATTCCCATGCTATCCTTATGGAGAAAATAAAAATTGTTGTAGTTTTGTTTATAAATATATATATATATAAAAAAATTTGGCAAATTTATTTATTTCATCCCATACTATTCACGTCAAAAAACACTGTTTACCTTCCCCGTAGCAGCAAACCTAAGCACTTGTTAAATCAAATGTTATTTAGGCTAAATAGGGAATAAATATGTCTTATTTATAGAAATATTTGAGTAAAAATGTAATCAGACAAGTTGAAATTCGCTTAGTCTGCAGGTTTGCTGCGGCGAGGGTATTTTAACCCTAGCAGTGGCCAATGTAAGAAGTGGGGAATGGCCACCCCATTTTGGCGATTTTGCAGACCTTTTTTTTGAAAATTCGTAAAAATTCACCTTACCAGTAAACCTAGCCAACCTGATATTCATTTTGTTCGGAAAGAACAGGAGAATCTAGAAATAGTAATATAATAATGATTTAGACAGTGTATTTTATCGGTAAAGTGAAAAAAAATATAAAAATTTGATTTTTTTTTTTAAATTTCAAAAGCGGCCTCGGTATTTTTTTTTCCTACGGATTTTTTATGGGAAATTCATTATATACATTTTGTAGACAATCTAATTCCCTACATAGAAATATATAACATGTTAGGAAAATATTTTTTTTTCATAAGTTTTTGGGGCGAAATAGGCTATAATGACAAACGGAGAACCGAAAAAATTGAAAACCGTAGGTACAGTGTTAGTTTAGGGTTGTAAAAAGTTCTATAATATATGTGTATACTAATAATGATATATACATGTTTGTAAAGCTAATGAAGTAAGGAATCAAAAAAAGTCATAAAGTTTATGGTAAAAATATTTTTTTCATAAACATACGTATATAAAATAATGTTTTTATATTTTAGCGATTTCTCGAGAAAAAAAAATTCACAGTATTTAGTATATACGGTACAACTTTTGTACCAATTTTTTTTTTACTTCAAACCAACATAATAATCTTGTAGTGTATTCAATTACCTACATAAAAATGTATAACATGTTAGAAATATTTTTTTTGTAGGTACATAATAGGGACATAATAATACAATAACCGCAAAACCGCAAATAAGTGTAAACTACAGTATAGCCTACAGTGTTTGTTTGTGTTGTGAAACATTATGTAGGCTGATGATATGTAGCCTACATATTTGTAAAGCTAATTAAGTAAGGTATCCAAAAAAGTCATAAGTATGATGGTAAAAAGTTATTTTCACCTAACTTATGATTATGTATCAATTTGAGAACGTTTTGAATTTTTTGCGCATTTCGAGAAAATGGAGTGTACAGTATTTAGTAGCCTATATACTTTTTTTACCAAATTTTTTACACCCAAACCAATATAAACATGTTGTAGTGTATCCATTTGCCTTCATAAAAATGTATAACACCTTGGGTAAATCATTATATAGCATATAGCACCTCTGAATGTCAGAATCGTCATTTTTGGACATGATGCTAACAAAATACAGTATTTAGTATAGGCTATAACTTTTTTACAAAATTTTTTACCCCCAAACCATTATAAACATGTTGTAGTGTAGCCTATTCATTTACCTTTATAAAAATGTATAACATTTTGGGTACCTATATCATTATATCGCATATATAGCATGGTGAACTAAGGTCCGTCTCGTACAACAATCTCTGAATGTCAGAATCGTCATTTTAGGACATGATGCTAACAAAATACAACCTTTTATGAACCCTATTTCACACAATTCAGTAATATTTGCATGAAGATTACTGTTATACACACACACAAACTTCACTAACACTAACACTACGAACTAATAACGTATTTAGTAATAAATCGCGGATAACACGAGAACGAACACTATTACCGGCAACAACACAAATAAACAATGGCGAATACAAGACAGCTGACAGACTGTAGCAGTAATGACTCACTTCCGTCGTCTACATGCGAGCATACAGAAATAACCCTGAGTGCAGGGCTGCCACTCTCTGAATCTATATTTCTTTCTCTTCAAAATGACATACTATGACTAGTAATAATAAATTACACTGTATGTAATTCGTATTTTCCACATCGTCACATGACGACCATTGGCCATTTGTTAAAAATTTCGAAAACAGCTGTTTTCATAAAATCGTACCGGTTGTGCAATCAATATTTCGTTCTAAATATTACGACCACAATGAAGATAAAATCAATGGCTATTCAGTGGTACCACCCGCAACATCCCACGACAAAAATTACCCGAGCAGGGTAATGCCAAACAAGACGTGTTTTGCAAGTTCCCAAGTGTCGGCTGCAAAAGTCGTGCCGAGCCAAAAATTCATTTGATTTCTAATCGTCGTGACATTGTTATGTACCTGCTACAGGGTTTGTTTATGTAATAAAATGAAAGTTCAGAATGTGATCTTTTGAATGGTAAGTTATATAAGTTATATTATTCTCATCTGAGTTGATTATAGCCTACGTGGTTTTTTTACCGCTAAAAAGATTTCGGCCCATATCGTCACCAGACGACTTTGGTCATTCTAAGCTAATGTCAGATCGTCACCAGACGACGATCGGCCACTGCTAGGGTTAAGTTACATATAGGCCTAGGCTAAGTTAGTTAAAGCTTACCCTTCATTGTTTCATTTCAGGAAGGCCTAAGTTTACTACAAATTAAACTGATAGGTCTACTCTACTAAAATGAAATTTAAATGTCATATTCAGATAAGAGCCTGTCAGCCTTGACAAATTAAAAAGCATACCTAGGTTCGGCATCTTTTACTTTGGTGGAGTAGCCTATCACTAGGCTACTTAATAGCAAATTGACTAGATTTGGATCGCAAATTGAGCAAATTCTGAGCCCACGACATAAGCCTCGTTCTGGTTAACACGGAGGTGGTGGTGGTAGGTATAATTTCTTATACTCAATCGAGGTTACCAAACTGACAGTGAATTTAAAATACTTTGGACATAGCCTAGATGTTACACAATTTCAATAAACTATGCGAAATACAGACCTTATCGGAGGTAAAAAGTGTAGCACCATCATTATTTTAAAAACTCATTGTTAAAAACCTTCAACACAACTGAGTAATCAATCACCAGCAAGATTTTGTTTTTTAACAATTTCACTGATGAGTGATAGATAATACGACTGACAATTTGACACTTAACCGCACTTGCACTAGCTTGACACTGAACTGACTGAACGAACAACTGAACTAAACACTGAACGAAACGTTAGAACTGAACTGAGACTGAGAGTGAGAGTGGAGACTGACAGCTCAATTTTTTATGAGCAACAACTGTTAGGCCTCTCGCCCACTATACGATTTCGGTCGTACGACACTGTGTCGTACGATATTCTTATCATATGTGTGGTCCTCGCCCACTTTACGACACTTTGTCGGATAAATGGCCAGTTGCTCGGTAGCCCTGGAAGAGTGAGGTGTGGGTGTGTTGCGCAATATCTTAAAACAGTGGTTCTGTATCAAACAGTAAAACAATAATTCCGTTACGTGTTGTTGCAATGTGGCTGCTGTGGCGTAGATTAAGCGATAGTGGCCAATGTAGGCCTACAGCATTAAAGAAACATTTATTTTTATGTGTAAATTATTTTTTAAGTTAATGTATTGATAGAAATTTTCAAATTATATTAGTCCATGCATTTTACAAGTTTTTAAATTTACCATAACTAATTAACTATCATAGGGTTTTGGGATAGTCTGGTAAAAAGTATGTATGTTAATTGTTTTTGGATTAGTTTTTAAATATATTTAATTTTATCAATATAATCTACAAAAAAAAATATTTATATGTTTTAGTGAAACTTTTTTACACAATTTAATTAATAATTAAGATTATACAATAATAATAGCCAAACTCGCATTTTTCAATAATTATTTTGGTATATTTACTCATAAGTGATGCAGTATTTAAACATAATATAAGGAAAAATATAACCAAATTGTAAAAAATAAATAGGAAGATCAAAATTACGCAAAATAATGGTTGAAAAATAAGACCAAGTGATATATCAAACATTATAATAAAAAAGTATGAATGAATTGTAAAAAATATTTATTCACGATAAGAAATACGCAAAGTGATATAACAACTATAATAATGACTAAGTATGAGTTAATTGCAAAAAGTATATATAAGACTACTGGGGAGAACGCACGACATACGATAAAAATCGTATAGTGGGCGAGCGCCCATTTGATTGTGTACGCCACTGCGAGTGAAACAGTCGTACGACAGTCGTGGATCACAGTGGCAGTGGACGACTGCTTCACGACAGTTTGTCGTAGTCGTGAGATTATCGTACAGTGGGCAAGCTCTCATAAGATCCAATGGTTCACTGTGGAAATGTTGTCGTTCCGACACAGTGTCGTACGACCGAAATCGTATAGTGGGCGAGGGGCCAAGATTACAGTGCAGACCGCTACCGCAGGCACAATTTTTATTTCAGGATAAGTTTTGCCAACAGTGTCATTTGCAGGCTTCTGAATGAAAGTTTACTAATCAAATACCCCCGCCGCAGCAAACCTGACGCCTAAGCGAATTTCCATTTGGCTGAATTGATTTTCAATTGATCTATTTAAATAACATTAGGTTTAACGAGTACCTAGGTTTGCTGCTACAAGGAAACTAATAAAGTGTGTGTTTTAAGTAAAATAATTATTGCTTAGTATAAAATGAATATATTTGCCAAGTTTGATCAAAAGATATCCTAAATAATGGTGTAAATACCTGCATTCATGTGATCAATTTGTTACTAAATTGCAACGGGTTTCAACTCACAAAGGAGTCATCGTCGGGCCAGTACAGATGTCTTCTCGCTTCATTTGAAGGTCGTCAATTCATGATAAATAAATACATTTAACACGCACACGTACACGAACATAAAAACAAACATTTAGGGCTAAAAACGAAAGATGATACAATACGGTAACGGGACACGACGTGATTTAAATATTTAAATTCACGTCGTGTCCCGTTACCGTATTGTATCATCTTTCGTTTTTAGCCCTAAATGTTTGTTTTTATGTTCGTGTACGTGTGCGTGTTAAATGTATTTATTTATCATGAATTGACGACCTTCAAATGAAGCGAGAAGACATCTGTACTGGTCCGACGATGACTCCTTTGTGAGTTGAAACCGGTTGCAATTTAGCAACAAATTGATCACATGAATGCAGGTATTTACACCATTATTTAGTATTTAACTGTGATCAGGAGGCTAAAATTCAATATAATGAAAAAAAAGATATCCATAAACAAGCAAACTACAACATTTTACAATATTTTCCTTAAGAATAACATGGGAATTTTAAATTTACCATTTTTTTAGTTTTCTCCATAACCAATAACCGTACAATACCCCCGCCGCAGCAAACCTGCCGACTAAGCGAATTTCCATTTGTCTGAATTGATTTTCAGTTAAATATATTTTAATAACATTAGGTTTAACGAGTACCTAGGTTTGCTGTTACAAGGAAACTAATAAAGTGTGTTTTTGAGTAAAATATTGATAGCTTAGTACAAAGTAAATAAATTTGCCAAGTTTGATCAAAATATATCCATAAACAAGCGAACTACAACATTTGACAATATTCTCCATAAGAATAACATGGGAATTTTAAATTTACAATTTTTTTAATTTTCTCCGTTACTAATAATCGAACAAAAATACTTTTATATACTAAATTATTTGTTTTTTTTTAAGCTCTTTAAAAAGGTCTAAAGAGAAATCGGGAAATTTTGTGTTTTGAGGATCAAAAGTGAGGAAAACCAATTTTTACCCCATAAAACCCCCGTAAAGCCCCGTTCCCATGGTCCGATTTTGCTGGTTCGCGAACTCATTCAAGTTTATCCCGCTTTACACCTTTAAACCAAATTTCATCAAAATCGGACAAAAATTACTCAAGTTATCGCGTTCACGGACGTATATATATATATATATATATATATATATATAAGTCTATATATATATACATATATAAAAATTTGAACGAATGGTGTTTTTGGCCTCTGGGGACATCAAAATGAAAAAGTAAATCGGTCCCGGGTGTAGGTCTTACCGTGCCACCTACGGTAATAGCTACTTCCCTATAGGGAAATTCGCTAAAAACACTTTGATATACTGAATTGTTTGTTTTTTTAAGCTCTTTAACAAGGTTTAGAGAAAAATTGGGAAATTTTGTGTTTTGAGGGTCAAAAGTGAGAAAAACAAATTTTTACCCCATAAAACCCCCCATAAAACCCTGTTCCCATGGTCCGATCATGCTGGATCGCGAACTCATTCAAGTTTATCCCGCCTTACACCTTCAAACCAAATTTCATCAAAATCGGATAAAAATTACTCAAGTTATCGTGTTCACGGACACACATATATATACTAGCTGACCCGGCGAACTTCGTATCGCCTAAGTTATAGGTTTCCCCTAAGACAGACCGATGGAAAGAAAGTACCGTTACGTTTAATTTTCAAGATGATCTCGTTCGCATCGCTCAATCACGTCCTGGTTGAAGTTCGTTCGCTACGCTCACTCACCTTTGGGTTGGAGCTCGTTCGCTACGCTCACTCACCTTTAGGTTGGAGCTCGTTCGCTGCGCTCACTTGCCTTCAGGTTAGCTCGTTCGCTACGCTCACTCACCTCCAGGTTGAAGTTCGTTCGCTACGCTCACTCACCTTTAGGTTGGAGCTCGTTCGCTGCGCTCACTTGCCTTCAAGTTAGCTCGTTCGCTACGCTCACTCGCCTCCAGGTTGAAGTTCGTTCGCTACGCTCACTCACCTTTTGGTTGCAAATTAGCTGTTGTCATAAATGTAAAAGAAATAATAGTGCTGCACCCTGTTGGTAAACCTTGTAACTTTAATGCTATTGAACATCATAGAACAGAACCAACTTGTTTAATTGAAACAGCTGTTAAGATTCATTAATTCCATTTCTCATAAGGTTAACATGGGAAACTCCAGAGCCACTGGGGCGGAGCCCTTTTAAGAATTTCGAAACGGGAAATAGTTTACGTCCGATTCGCATACCTACAGAATTTACAAACCAAATTTCATAACGATCGGTGAAGTCGTTCTGGAGGAGTTTGCAGACAAACACTGTGACACGAGAATTTTATATATTAGATATATATTAAGAAAACTGTAGTGATTAGGGCTACTATTTTGATATGTAAAAGCATTATTAAAAACTAAGTACCTTTTTTTTAATTCATTTTATTTAACAACGACTAGTTTCGACGATAATGCCATAGTCATGTTGTTTTTATATCTAACAAATACAATAAACATTTTATCTAAATAATAAATACAATCATATGATTTCATAGGTTTTGATGACTTTAGATTTCTTCTGTTTTAAATGGTCTTTATACTATATATAATAATTTTCTCTCTTAATTTAACTGCAGGATTTTTTCAAATATTGGATTGCATTTGTTGATGTTCATTGTGTTTAGTAAATTTTCTGGGTGTTGTTTATAGTTTTTGTAAATGTAAAAATCTTCTTTAACATGTAATTTTGATTTGTCTTTTTCATATTCAAGGATTTTTAAATTTTCGTGGATGCTTTTGTATTCATGGTCTGTTTGTATTAAATGTTCTGCAAAATAAGATTTCATTGTTGTGCGGTTTCCTGATCTTAATGCTTGAATATGTTCTTTGAACCGTTTTTCAAAAGTTCGACTTGTTTGCCCAATGTAGGATTTATCACAATTAGAACATTTGATTTCATAAATACCTGATTTTCTCATATTGTCTTGATTTTGGTTAGCTATATTTTCTTTTGAAATTTTGTTATTGATAATTTGAAAAGCATTATTTTTTGTTTTATAACTGATTATTACATTTGAATGGTTGAAAGTTTTTCTTAGGGCTTTATTAATTTTGGTATTGTACGGTATACAAATAAATTCTTTTCTCTTTTTGTTTTCTGTTCCTGAAGTAGTTCCTTGTGTTTGAAGTTTTCTCTTAAATTTTTTCTTAATCATGTTTTCAATTATAGATGGATTGTATCCATTTTTCACTGCCAAATATATAATAGTATTTTTTTCTTTGTTAAAGTTTTCAGTGGACATAGGAATATTTACAAGTCTGTGTGTTAACGAATGAAATGTTGCCAATTTATGTTGCCATGGATGATTAGAATGTGAAGGTATGATACTGTTTG